ATGAAATTCAAACACCTTGTTCGGGGATCAGTCACAGGATAAAATTTTTGTACAGCAAATGAAGTCAAATATAGCATGTTAAAGGTTAAGTTAATTAGATTTTGTCATATCAAGTTCATTAATTAAAAAAAGCAATTATTACTTGGATCTAATGCCATGTTGCTAACTCCCCCCCACTTTTTTTCTTAACAATCCCTCTTTTGTTTCAGTTGCCCACTCACAATCATTTTCTCACTCCCAGGAAAGTTGTACTGTCTACTTTAGAAATCCAAGGCATTCTATAATATCAGATAACATGTAATCCCAAATGACTTCTGAGATCAACCTTGCATTGCCTGTCATTACTTAAGCTCTTGTTGTTATACTTCCAAAGAATTGGGATCCCAAGGATGTTCTGCTTGACAATGGTGTCTGTACACTCAAACTTTGGCATCATCATCATAATAATAATAATAATAACCACCATCATCATCATCATCATCATCTAGATAACTGTCATGATCTCAGATGAAATCTTCAATATCTTTCATTCATTTTTAATCCATATGATATAAAGAGCCAGGAATATTAATCCTCTCCATCTTTTGTTAGGATTTTTTATCGGAGGAGAAAGTAGTTTATTGCTTTTAGAAATTTTCCTTTTGAGTTCAAGTTTTTCCTGCAGCTTATTCTTTATTTTTGATTCCTGATGTCATTTGGCAGTCTGAGTCATCATGATGAAAAGCAAATGAAAACAAAAAAGAAATTCTAGTCAGAATTGATAATGCCCAACAGTGCTTCATTTAATAGTAATAATTGAAATCATTAGTCTTAAAATTTAAGAAATATTGTATTGTTTGTATTCTATAACTAGAAATAATAAAATGAAAACAAACAATATAAAAAGAGGTGTTTGCAATTTTTTTTCTTGTACACGTTTTTTTCACAATAAAAATTAAAGATAAAATACATAAACTGATTTGTCATTGTCTAGCTTTTCATATGATAGGACATCATTTTACAGCTGACTCATATTTGAGCAGATGATTATGGAAACGATTGCTGTTATTGAAAAGGAGAATAAAGAATAAAAAGAAATGGATAATAAATTAGTGTCATGCCTTCTCTAAAACCTTTTCTTCCTCCCAGTGGTTAAAGATGTTCATTTTAATAATGAACCTTCTCTCTACAAAATATCTTATTGAATTTCGAGAATTTTATGATTAGAAAATTACCAACTTGTTTCAAGTTTTGTGGGGTTTTTTTTCTCAATTTAATTTTCCCAGGATTGAGAACATTGAGTTGTTACTGACAGAGATGATTGGCAAAGTAATAAAGGAAATTGAGTTCGTGGTTGTTGATTTCACAAAAGGAGAGGGGAATGATTGCAAAATCTTTCCCCCTCCCCTTTTATAGTCAGACTTCCGTAAAATGCATGCTGAGATATTTTCTTAGCCAATAAAATGGGATGGTTTGTGTTTTGGCATGAGTCCAGATCTGCCAAGTTAGGCAGTTCATGGCTGACTTGTCAAACTCTCTGCCTTTAGGCACAGAGGAACCCAGACGAGGCTATGCCGCAGGGCAGAGTCATGTCTGGGAAGGCAGACAAACCCGGCCCCATGTATACTGGGTCTACCGGGGATTTCTGCTTGGAATCGCCTTGTGGGGAGGCTAAGGTAAATAACTTCAGTCCAGATTTACCTTATCTGCTAGACAGACCTACTTTGTTTGCTTGTCTGACCTTGCTTTTGTGTGCAAACACCAAGTCATAGTTTGGTAATTCTTTTGCCTTCTTACTTGTTGATTTGCTTTGCATATATTGTTTATTTGTGTGATTGTTGCTGTTTCATTTTTTCCCCACTTTTTCTTTTTATTGCAAACTTTATTAATTCTGTTCATTGGACAGTTGTGTCATTTATCCTGCATTTTGACAATGGCTTCTAATTCATCAGTGGTCTTTAATATTTAAGAAATTACTTTATTCTTTTTTAAGTAATAATGAATCCAGATTGACTCTTTTCAGGAATCTGTTTTCTGTTATATTTCTGTAGCTGTATGTGACAAATACAATATTAGGTTTGTGGCATTTATTTCCAAATCCTGAGTAGATTGAATAGTTTTCCAGTAATCCTCTATGGAACCCAGACTTTATGAATTTAAACACAGAACTAGATTGGTGACAAGATGTCATCATTTTACCATTGAAATGGCTAGATGTAATCATGAGTTCTATATTAATAGTTACTTTATCTCACGCTTCTCACTTGTGGAACTTTCTTCTCTTTTCTTGCTCCCCAGTTAACTTTGATTTTCGAAAATGAAATGTCACTTGTTATCTTCTGCTTTCTTAATTCCTGTTCATTTATTGTTTTCTCTTCTTAATAGCATTTTTTTTTTCATATTCTCTAACACTCTGTATCCCCTTGTGTAGTAGTGACTTTATTGCCTTGCTTGGGGTGAAATGATTAAAAAAATAACTCAAGCAAATACTAAGCCATTCTCTACTATTTCAACAACTGTTTATGTTCAGCAATTTTAGTATCTTTCATGGGTTTTCCAATTCACCTGTTGCTTCAAAATATTGATGCAAGATTCTTATATTTGTTTCTTTCTCAATACCATTCATTTCATGCCGCATACACATGTGGACATTGTGATCTAATTTATTTCAATATTGTGTATAATGGTTAACAAGCTAGTTTTCAATATTGTGTATAATGGTTAACAAGCTAGTCTAGCAAACAGTCATATATTATATTAGTAAGTTTGCTTCTCACCCAGTGAGAAGCAAACTTATACCAGATTATACCAACCTTATTTTCAGCCTTATACCAGATTACTCTTAAGTTTCAAATAGGGTGACTGGAATCTTTTTTATAACTTCCAGTGATGAAATGCATTGTCCTAAAATGCTCCTTGTCTAAATTAAGAGGTACAAGGAAATTTTCTGAATATTTAATAAAAGTGGTTGTTGAAATAAGGATGTCTTGGGTAGATTTTTTTCCAAAAAAGAATAAAAATCCCTATCCAATGTATTGAAATGTAAAAGTATGCTTAGTAATTTCAACATTTTTATTCTTTTGGACCTTGTTGCTTATGTTTTACATTTCTACTGATATTTGAATATCATTTTTAGATGTTGGATGCAAAAGACACTTTAAAAAAGATTAAGACAAACTCATAATATTGAAGAAAATGTCATCTTGCTATTTCTCTTAAGAATGGTCCTGAAATATTGGTTGTCGACAGCAGTGATATATGATATGAGATATATAAACAAAGATTATGTTTCACAAAAAAAAAAATTACTACCATGATCCTCTGACAAGTGGATGTAATATCCATAAAACTCAAAGTATGGACAGATAAGTGAACATTTAATTTCATCTATATTCAAGCATGTTTGGTTGAATAATCTGGACATATGTTTATTTTTATTTTAATCCTCTCAAATTCACAGATCAATTTCTTAATGTTGTTATTAGATTTATTAAGAAAGGCACCATAGTTGTTTTCATTTCTTTTATTTTCCCAAGTACTTCCAATCTCATCCAAGATCATCTTTTTTTGCCTTTCAAAGACAAAAAAATTTATGTAATTGAGAGTTGTGAATTTTTTTGTAAATGAGCATGAATCACACTCTGTTATAATTATAAACATGTATGAACACACTGTGTTATAGTTAATTTAAAAATTAACTGTTATCTAAGGGAGGTAACTTTAATTTATATTTGTAATTTTTTAAAAACATTACTGTTATAGACATTTTAAAACGTTATACTATTTACATTATTCAAACTATTGTCCTCATCTTTGTTGCCATATTTATCATAATATTTCGGCTGTTGTATGCTCTGGCCACCTTCCAACCACCTGAAGAAGGCCTGAGCGTACAACAGCCGAAACGTTGCGATAAATATGGCAACAAAGATAAGGTCAATAGTCCAAATAATGTAAATACATAATACCTCATCTCAGAAATATAGACAGATATTGTTGTTATACTCATAATTAATCTTAGAGTTGGTTGTATTTTTCTTATATATATTTTTCAAGAATTTGAAGTTTTTGTTTTTTACAACTTAATCATCTGCAATGACTCTTCTCCATCAACTAATGTTTTACAAAAGACCAACATTGTATATCAATTTACATCTCCTTTGGGAGATTAATCTGACCAAAAAGTAAATATATATGTTGGTTTCACAACAACAACATTATCAAGATTTTCATTACATATGTCAGATTCAAGTCCTATTGTACAACATTTAAAGGAACATCATTCTGTGGTCATTTTTTTCACTCAAATCTGTGAATTGTTTTGCTCATACTAAGTCTCAAAAAAAAACGGTATATAAAATTCACTATTTTTTTTTTTATCCATAATGTTGATTGTGTTAAATTTATTCAACTTTTTAACAAGAAAATCTCAAGTTCATGTTGAAAATTGCACAAAACATTGTTGATTTAAGACGGAATGATCTATTCTGACATGTCTCTAATTTGTATTTACATTATTTATTTTCAATTTTTCTAGTTGAATTGTTCACCTATATTGCATATGATCCATTATTGTATGTAATTAGGTTACAATATAATTTATATTTTGTATAATTATTACTTTATGAAAATTGAGATGTAATAGAGTGTGTGTGGAGGGGGGATATGAGAACCTTACTGCGGCCCTAGCCTTTAGTAAGAGACAAATTTGTATCTTTTTTTTTTTTTTCCTTGAGAGCTTGCCTACTTGATTAGACCTACAAAGGCCAACCATTCATAGTCATTCAAATTTTATCAAATACCTTTATGTTTCCTAAGTACCAAATACACTGTCTTAAAAAATAACCTGCAAAGGTTGATAAGCCATAAAAAAAAACAAATCAATCAAATTGATTAAAAAAAAATTAACCACTCCCAGATAGATCAGGAGCATGACATATTAAACAAAGTGTTCAAAATTCTAACCACAATTTTGGCCCTTTTTATCCAATTTTTCTTAAGGTATTTACTTTTAATTTTAGGGTGCTAATAGCCATGGTCAGTTGAGCCAAGGTCATACTGAGGATCTGGTCTTACCTACAGAGTTGCTCAGTTGTCCAGTATCAGCTTCAGAAATTGCCTCCATCACTGGTGGTGGGGGACATTCTCTTCTGGTCACAAGTAAGTATAAAGAGGGGCCTTAATTTTTATTGGATCAAATGTGAATTTTGAAATCTCATTACCAGCAAAAACTCTTTTTAATTACTTGGATTTGGAAATGAAGTCATCTCATGTTTAATTTTTGGTTAATCATTTTTCATCTTATTGAAAAAGAGGAAATTGTGATTAAAAAGTAAAAAGACCTGACAGAAATGGGTAATGAAAATATTTCCTGTCAGAATTTAAGATATTTAAGACTACTTTTAAGTAGTGAAATCAAAACGAGATTTGGAATAGAGATGGTAGTATGACTAGAGTTGTCTCCTATCTTGCGATAGACTTTCTGCGTCCAAATTAGTAAATACATTCTCTATGAAAGATAACCTCTTGAGATAAGAATTGTTGTTTTATCAAAAGGTATTTCATCATTGCTAGTTCCCAGTGTTTACTTATTTGCTGAATTGTCTTTGACATTAAAAATTAGAATAAAAAAGTAGCAATAATATAATGAAGTAAACACTGGCCAAAAACTGTTAATAAAGTCTATTGTAATAAAATCTTCATATTCATTAGTGAAACTTATCTATATAATATTTACCCATTGTTGGTGAAAGCCTATTCAGGGAAGTTTAAAAAAATATTAATCCCAAGTCCCAGGGAGCCTCTCCACCCACCAAACACTACCTTTCCTTCAGAATGGGGCTAGGTTTATTGCCTGGTGCCCCCAAAAGGGGAAGTACTGAGGTGGTGGGCAATTTTTCCACAGTATTGCTGTTAAACCCACTTTAAACTGACCTTGTGTGACATTTGATAGTGACATGGGTGCATGAAAAAATAACCTACATATATGATTTCTTAAAAAATTGTAAACCTGAAGATGGTACTGAAACTCAGATACATGTGTCATTTTCTTTTCATTGCTCTATTTTTAGTGACATTGTTTTGCATATTTTATATAAGCAAGAATTAAAGTTATTCTAATTAAATTACTGGTTGGATCCATAGATTTTCTGTAACATTTAGTCAGCCTCAAAATACACACATGTGCCTAGTATCATGTAGGAGCCTCCTCTAGCTTAATGAAGTGCAGCGACTTTTTTTTTTCCTTTCTGATCATATTTATTTCACCAGCTGTAACATACAAGATAAATATGTAAGTTCTAAGTGTATAATTTATAAAAAAAATTCTTAGCTTTACTGATTTAATTAGTTGGGGAAATTCTGAAACTGAGATATCCACTGATCAGTGAGGCTGTTAAGAAGGACTAAAATGTGCACTTTTGTCTGTTTCATGAAGACCTTAAGTGTCAAACTCATTTTTTTAAAAAAAAGAAAAAAAAATTTGTGAAATTTTCAAGACTAATAAAAAGGTTATTTTGTCACTATCACAAATCAACCTGCTGATCTGCTTTGGGTTAATGTTGTAACCTAGAGATGGTTGCCGAATAGAATAATCACACAAAGGTTGGCAATGAATGATAATACTTAGGACAAGAACAACACATAAGATTCACCAATAGCACATAGAAGTGAGTCAAGTGAATTCCACAATGAATCTCCAACTGCAGGATATCTACCAACCACCCCACACAGTCAGATGTGGCACAAGGCCGAATTTAATGTGGGGTATCCGAGGCCATAGGCTCAGCCAAAAATTCCATGTAGACTCCATATAAAACAGGGTCAGGTAGCTGTTTCCCAAGAGGAATCTCTGCTCTTCAACATAGCTTTTGAGTACTTTGCATATATTCCACAGTTGAATGATTTCTGGAGTGATGTTGAATCCTGCTGCCTCGATAACTGTCAACCAATTCTTGATATTTATTGGTACAGGATCTTGCAGATGAATAAAACCATGTCATAAATGTTTGAACTCATTGTAGTGGCCACACTGTTTATCAGAAGTTGCCAGGTGACTTGGGCTTGGTGATACCATTATTGTTGAGAGTCCATAAAAGGGTACAAATGGTCATGTAAATCCACTCACACCATTATAGAACCCCTACTAGCCCATGTGGGGACTTGTTGTCAACAAGGCTTGCACCATACCTGAAGCCTACCATCATCCCAAATCATATGGAACCATTACTCCTTGAACCACACTACATGTTGCCTGCTCTCTAAGATCCATTTAGCAACATCATGAATCCAGATTAGGTACTATGTTTGGTGTAGCTTGGTGGGTCTTCTGTGCATATATCTCCTGGAAGTTAATAAATGCTGAACTGGTTTGCTGGATATGTCTGGTATCTGCTGCATTGGATATGATTTGAGGCAGTATCATTTGTTCGTTGTCACATTTCTAACTAGATGCCTCTGGTCACATGGTTTAAATACCCAGGGCTCAGCCATGTTCCATGGTAGGTGGGATAATGCCTTCCCTCAGATATTTCTGGTACACACCCATGACACCATAGATAGATATCAAAGGTCTCCACAGTTTTAGAAATGGGATATTGCATCTGTTTGGCAACTAGAATCATGCTCTGTTCAGACTGATAATTCACATCATCTTGTCCTATGCAGTTGAGCTGGTGTTCATACTGATTCACCAACTGTCAGATGTTACCTCATATAGGTCTGGGTATTGCCATGATGCCAAAGTATGGTGGCACCACCTACCATTACCTTTACATACTGCTAACACATGACTTTTGGCACATTGGGGTAAAGTTAAGTCTTGTCTCTGCATTTTGGCTTTTATTGTATCAAAAAGACCATCATTGAAATAGCTACAAGTTTTAACAAGTGAAAAGTTTTTTTTATTTTTTTTAAGAGAGAAATGTTCAAGTTGCAGACCCTTGACTTGACAAGAGGAGATACATCTCTTCTCTTAGTGTGTACAAGAGAAATCTAATCTTGCAGCTAGAGTTTATACTGTATCCAGACGTTTGTTGCTAGGCACAACATAAGATTTCCTAATTGTCTTCTTTATTTATGGTAATGTTGAATCAGGATCTGGAGTAATTAAGGATATAGATTTGACAAATACTAGCATAAGTGCTATTTCCTTATAAAGTATATTTACAAAATTTGAATTACAAAATATAACTTGTATATATAAATCTATAAAATTAGTAAAAAAAGATTGTTTTTTTTTTTTTCATTTTCATTGCACTTTTACTTTATTGTACTTTTACTTTTTACAGCCATATCTGCAAACTTTTCATCAATCAATTGAAATCAAGTTTGCCATATTGAGCCACAAAGTAAATTGGGCTACATTTAAAAGCACAGAATTACTGAATATTGAATTGATTTCTAATAAGTTACCCAAGTTAGCTCAGCTCAACATTGCCACAAAATTTATAAGTAATGAAATCCAAAAATTTAGTAGGTGACATTTTTCAAAAATCCCCTCCCCCTATTAGACAACCTTGGCTGGAATACATTTTGCATTTCAAGGTAATTAATTGTTGCTTTTGTGTATTTCTGAAGATCTTTTTCTGAGTTTATTTATTTTTTTCTCTATATGGATAATTTTTCTGTATGTATAAAATTTCTGGTAGATAAATGGGGATAATTGGCATTGTACCAATGTTTATTTTCAGTCAGTACTTTTGCATGTTTGTAAAATTTGTGATGCCTGCAGAATTTAAAAATTTATGTAACATAAAGCATATTTTAAGGAATTTTTTTTTTTTTTTAACTCTCCCCAGAAAATGGACACATTTATTCATCTGGTTCAAATGATAGAGGAGAAAGTTGTGGAGAGACAAAGGTGAAATTGAATTTCACAGAAATCTTCTTTAGTTCTCATCGAATTGTGCAAGCCACATGTGGTTGGGATTTTTCATTGGCCCTCACAGGTAAGTGACAATGGTTCAGATGACTTGTGGGGAAAAATATTTGATGTTAACAAAGAGGGTCATTGTCAATATTATTTGTGTATACACAAGACATTTTTCTCATTTCATGTCAACTTTTATCATTGTCATGATTTGAATTACCAGATGATCATATTTATATTCTACAAGCAGTACAGCATTATGTTTCCAAATTTCTGGCAGAGTGAATTGCATCTTGGTACTCTTTTTCTCATTGACGGTGCCCAACTGACCCTACTATACTGTGCAGTGAACAAAATCAAAAACAAACAACGTGCATGTGGGAAATTAAAAATAATAAATGGCAACAATTTACCCATCACTGTATTCTAAAGTCCATTTAAATATTCAGCAGTAGTTATATTAAAGTTAAAACGTTTGGTATTTTTTGGCTTCATTATCAAATGTATTTTTTTTTCATATATATATATATATATATATTTTAATTATTCTCTATTTTAAAAATATTGTATCATCATTACACAGGAATTACCATGTTTCAAAACAGAAACTAAAATTTTAAATTTAATTATGCAATTAAATTTAAAACCCATGAGGAAGCCACCCCTAAAGTATGTAAAAGTATTTTTGATATATTCTGTGTATATAACCTGTTCGGCTGGGGTTAACTCTAGATTTGACCTTCTCGGTCAATCTCACGCTGTATGATCATTGTCGTGATTCTACTGATGTTGGTTGCTGTAACCTCACGTCCACTGTGCCCTGCCCACATTGTTCTCTTGATCACAGGGTTGGTGGAATCCACTACAGCAGTGATTGCTGATGTTGAGTCAAATTTTGGCGAACTGGCTATATTGTAAAAAAAAAAAAAAAAAAATGTCTTTTTGCAAAAATCATGCAAAGGAAAACAGAGACTTTGGTTAACTTTTGATTTGGTTTTATATAGTTTTCCAATGTACAAAATTAACCCTTCTCACTGCAATTCTCTATAATGATACTTCATCTTTCGGTGTTAATTCTGGAACAAATCTCAAGACAGGAATTCTCTTGTCAGCCGATAACATGTGGTTCAACAGTTCCTTTCGCTGTTGTCTCATCTCTTTGGCCACTGTGCTCCAACTAACTAATTTGACCAAAGCACTCTGCTTATATTAACTCCGATTCAAGGCCAGCATGAGGCTGACAGTGTCTAAGGATTTGAGGTTTACCCCTGTCTTCTAACAAGATCTCTTTGCTGTCTGGTTTGTAAAATTAATTATCTCTCCAAATTTATGGACATCGCTACGAGTAGTGGCCATAGGCATTAGCCCACCTGTATAACTTATACCTTATTCATGTCTTGCATGATTACTTCCAAATGGACAGAGGTAAATTTTCCCCTTTTCTCCTCCTCTCTCAGTATTCTGAGATGATCCCCATGGGGAGGTTTTAACTATCTTCTTGTCAATTCAAATTTTAAACTAAGTGAACAAAGGGGCTGTCTTATTTTAATCATTAATTTTCCATAACAAATATCATTTTCCCATCTTTGGTCTGGTCTAGTGTATTCCCAACCATTCATACTGCTTCCACAACCCTCGGGTTATCATGCAGACAACCTTACAGCTGCATTTCTCATCCTGATTCCTTCAACACAGTATAAATTCTTATCTCTCCACCTGTCCACACCTTCGAAATTATCAGATATCATGTTCAATTGACCTTTTTTCCACCTGGGAATCATGAGACATATTTTTGTAAGTGGACATAATCTATATGCCATCTTGCCCTTTTATCTCTCTGTCTGCTCCATTTTATATTCCAAATTAACCTTTTTCTTTTACCAGTGTCACAAGTACACATACATATATATACACACACACACACACACACACACACACACACATACATATATATATATATATATATATAATACACACGTTTTGTATTACTATTCCTACGATTTCTTTAACAGGAACATTAATAGATAGACTTTCAACATCTAATGAGTCTAGGGTGCCATTGTTAGGTTTATTAGAATGTAATATGTTTAGGAAATTATTGGTTGAACTAACGTCATATTTATTAGATAAGTCTGGCTGGATCAATTTATTCAGAGTTTCAGATAAATTATATATGGAAGTTGAAATTTGAGAGATTATCGGATGTAGTGGCATGTTTGGTTTATGGATTTTGATATTTCTGTATCCATGATACCAGATGATTTCACACAAATTTGTTAAGTTTCATGGATCCTATTTTCACATTATTAATTGTAATTAGTTTTTTTATTTGGGTCTTAAGTAGGTTACTAATATTTCTCTTTCATCTGTTTCTCTTTCAGATGGAATCAAGTTTTTTGTTAGTCTAATTTAAAATAATTTTTTTTTTCCCTTCACCGGTAGCTTGTCCTGGGTATGGCGATAAACTGCATCCAGCAGCAAGGCCTCTGATCAGGAGGTTTTGAGGAGCATGGAACCGCTTCCTAATTGCTGTTGTTCCCAGGTCCACCCTGACCTGGGGTGGTAGCACCCCTTAGGGTCTTAGCTATGGGTAAATAGTTTCCCCCCTCCCTTGATCTGGAGTCAGAATACTAGGAAAGTGTAAGAATGGGTTTTTTGTAATAATACTACCATCAACACAAATTGCAGTATATAAAGTGCACAATCAAAAAACCAAAATTTCCCCTAAATGGGGCCACCCGTTTGCCGTGGGTGGCGACCCGTAATACCTGGAGATGGAGTCTTGGTGACTGAGTGACTCCTGATCTGGTGTAAAATGACCAGGAGTTTCCACAACACGTCACTTCGGTCCCTACCTGGGATAGACGGGCAGATGGAATAGCCCAATCCATTCCAATCAGCTAGTCACATTGTGGCAAGGGCTAGTCGGCATGATAGAAAATGGGTCCAACAGAGGCCATGAAACCTTACATCATATTATACTTGGGTAGATATGGTGGGGGAGTGCAGGTGCTCATATCCACTCTCATCACAACTATACTGTCTGTGTAGCCTTGGTGGATTAGGGTGAATGGGATTAGTCCCCCCCCCCCCCGATAGTGTCCCTTAAGAAGGAACTCCAAGGTGGGTGGGGAGCACAGACAGTGAATACAAAAATTAAAATTATATGGCTATCTCTTAATAAAGAAAAATAATACTCTATTAATTCAAGTGATATCCAAAAAAGATGCAGAGAAATTGCTAAAAATCAAGCAAATTGACAACAATAAAGTCAAGGCCTACTGCCATCAACTTCTTAATTCATCAAAAGGAGTAATAAAATGCCCAGAACTGTTACTTTGTTCATCAGAAGAAATTGAAAATGATGACACCCTAAAAAAGCAAGGAGTAACAGATGTTAAAAGTATTCAAGTAAAAAGAAATGACACATTAATAAACACCAACACATATATTTTGACAATCAACAAACCAACTCTACCAAAAGAAATAAAAATAGGTTACACAATAGCCAAGGTAAATATTACGAACAATGATATTCTAAAAAATTTAAATTAAACATAAGTATTTAAAATTTTTAAATATTTTAATAGGTAAGTATATTATATATGTATATACATATACATAAATGTATGGTAAAACTTTAACCTTAAAACATCTTTTACCCATGATTAATTTCAGTTAATTTTCACAAAACACAATTTTGCTTTTTGCACTACAAGGAATAAAATAGAATAGTAGAATATATGCAATGTCAGATTTTATTATGCAAGTCAACATTTACACAGCTGATGTTGGTCAAAACATTTTAGGATGCATTTGAGCTGTATGAGTTACAGATTATAATTTGTTTGGTCAGGCATCGTGTTTTGTTATACAAAATAACGGTAATATAAATTTTTGTGTATAAATAAACCCTTAAATATAACACACATAAATGTATATTTGATTAACACAATATCTTATACATTAAGATAAATGATTATTTATGTACATGTAAATGTGGGATTCTTGATAATCTTCATCAGTCTTTCAACATTGATTTTGTTAACATTTTTACTTGTTTTTCTTGCTTCCCAGAGAGCTTCTTTACTTGAATATTGTTTCCAATTCTTTCTTAATGATGGACCACAAATTTTCTATTAGATTAACATCATCTGGTGATTTTGAAAGTTTTTTTTGGCAAGATGGGCAATAGTTAGCTGTGAGTGAGCACTGACTTGCAAAAATCTATTGTTTAGACAGAAGTTTCTTGGTTTTGAACTTTACCACTCAAAGAATTTACAATAATTCTCTGCATTTATTTTGATACCATCACTGAAAGGACCTACAATTTTACTGGCTATAATACAAGACCAAAATGTTACTTCACTCCACTGTCTTCTAAATTCTATTGGCTATTTCCATGAAGAACTCAGTCTCTACACATGCCATTAGCTCCATCCAATGTAGATCAACATTCAGTCCTAAAATTTCCTGTTGAGAAATCACTTTCCATGTACTCCTTCACTCAACTTGTTTTTTTTTTTGTTTTTGTTTTTTTTTTTTAGGGGCAGTAATTTATTTAAGAGAGAGAAAAGATGCACAATATTAAGAACATTGTACATCTTTTCTCTGTTAACATTCACAACATCAGCTTATTCTAATATTTTCTGGCTGACAGGCATATCACATTGAAATGCTGGTTCTTTTACAATCACCAAAGTTAAGCAATGTTGAGCCAGGCCAGTACCCAGATGGATGACTATTTGGGAATACCAGATGCTGTAAGCTTGAATGTGTGAGTGGTATGATGGATAATGGCTTGGAATTGTTAATTGGAGAGTCAAGTTCCAATTCCAGTTGGGTTCATTATGTTCATTTGTGCAAAAATAACCTTGGGAAAGATATAAATCCATCTCTTCTTCACCCAGCTATGGCTTAATTAATAGGGCTTGAATCAGTAAATGATGATTATCTCCCAAAAATTTTTACAGTCTAAAAATACTTTCTGGTTTTAACCAACAAAATGTTAATAAGCTGTAAAAAAAAAAAAAAATCAATCAATCTTTTTTGCTGGGCAATCCACTTTTCCTGCATATTATTCTTCATGTTTCACAATTTTCCTTTTGTGACATTCTTGAAGTCAGTTTCTGTCCTGTTCTTGAAAATATTTTCAATTTCTTTTTTCATTGTTCTTTTGCCTCTCTTCAACTTTTTCACAATTTCTAATGTCGTATTTTCATCACAACTCAATAACTTTAAAATATCTTCTCTTTGCTGCTTATTTTCTTTCTTATAACTCCTTGCAATCTTTATAGATCTGAAATTAAAAAAATACCTGTACTATTCTGTATCTTTATTTGCAATATGATGAACAAATGTTGAGTTGCCTCATAAAACCTGACATTAAAACCTGATAAAACAAGTTACCAATTTTTTTAGTAAGGATAGATAGAGGCTGAAACTCCCACAAGATATGCCACAGATAAATAGAAGAAGAACTTGAAAACTTTTCTAATGATGATTTTATTGTAAAAGCATTGACTTTGGTAATAAAAAAACTGATGTGTAATTTACTGGTTCTTGAAGTGGGTGTTTATAAAATATAAAAGATTATTTATTTACTTCAGTTTCTATTCTGTATACATACATATAAGTTTTTTTTTTTTTTTTTTTTTTTTTTGCATATATGGGAATTTAATACATTAACCAGAGTTGGATAATGCAATGTGGCATAGGTTTTACTGTCAAAGTGAGAATCTGTAAAACAATGGGAGGAGTAGGGGAGTTTCTTTTTTCCTTCTTTGCATTGCATACATCCAATGTTCAGCACAGTAAATAAAATCAAAGTTCTGTTTTTTGTTTTTTTTTTACAGGAAATACTTCCCCTAAAAAAAATAAACTTAATTGAAATGTACAGTTTTTTTTTTGTTTTCCAGATTGGTGAGAAAATCATTTGTCTGAATTTGTTTTGTGAAACATCTTGGAATATTTTTTATTTAATGCCCCTTTCCATTCAGATGAGTATCCTCATTTTCGTTGCTATATTCACACCGTTTCAGCCATTGGTCTTTCTTCAAGTGTTTGCTATATTCAGTAACCTTCTCAGAATTTTGAACGAAACCCTTTATTCAATTCACAAGGCAGAGTGTTCTCTTTCTGCTTTCCACATTTTGTGTTTCTTCCACTGAACCAAAGTATATTAGTTTATCACATCACATGACCTGACCTGGAATTTTAACTCACAACTGCTAAGAAATCAGGATTTATCCAACAATTTAATCCACACTTGGACAATCCAGGGTTGTAATTTTGGAACCTTAAGCCTAATATTTATATTTCAGTGTCCTATCGGAGGCTTCCTTGTGGTGTTCATTTCTCTGCTAGGTCTACTGAGGAGGTTGGCAGAACCTAAAATGTGTGCTGATACTTTGTCATTTTATCAGTCAGTGACATTCAGTTATCTTCAAGTATTTTGACTTTATTCCACAAGTGTTGATAACCATCTTTTTCTTTCCACACATGATCAGCCATGCCTGTTTTCAATATTGATTTCTAGATTACAGCCTTTTGATGTTTGTCCACCGTTACTTTTTGGAATGGCTGGTCTCTGCCTTACATAAGATGCAATACACACACTTGTTGATTATGTTCTTTTTCCAGGAGGGATGCTTAATGTGAGATATATTTAGATTCTTCCAACACTTTCCAAATCCTCTGCACTGTCCTCAGATTGACACCCAAATATTCTGAAATGTTCATATTGGAGCTTTCAGTGTGAATGCCAAGCAATAAAGGATGCTGTTTCCAAATTTCTGGCAGAGTCAATTGCATCATGATGCTCTTTTTCTCGCATACGGTGCCCAACTGACCCTTTTATACTGTGCAATTGACAAAAACAATATGCACGCATGAAATTAAAAATATAAAAAGTGATGTTTTACCCATCACACCCTGTAGGTGGTTTTAGTGGTGATGTTTCTATAAAAATTTCCTTAAGGTAGTCTATGTTTATTATTACTGGAGATCATGGTGATCCAATAACTAAACCTTCTTCCTTTTGGTATATGTTGGAACCAAATTAAATTGGTTAAAATATATCTGGTTCCTGGTTGTGAGTTCAATCCTTGGGTAGAGTAGCGTGAAGAAGTAATATATTCTGATTAAGTGTGAGTAAAAGAAAAATGACAAAAAGTGGAGACTGGAAAATATTACCTGTGAAGAGTTATCTCCCTTAAGCATGGCAAACCGAATAAGAACAATCTACTCATGTGAACTGAATAAAGGGTTTGCTTAAAAATTTTGAAGAAGGCCAGAGGGTGCAATGGCTGAAACACTGTTAGTATAACCACTAAGATGAGTTTCCTTGTTCAATTGTAAAGGCATGATGATAATTTCTGATCTCAAGGGAGCTCAATATTGCAGCTGGCTTTTTGTTGCTTTTCGTTCAACACGTTCTCAAATTGGCAAGACATATATTCTGTATTGTCTGACACTTGTGAATTTTATCAATCAGAATACTATATTCCTGAGAAAAGAAACTGTATTTATAAGCCAAGTTCTCACCATGGCACAGACCATTGTTTGGTCTTCAAATCATTATAACATAATTATTTTCCATCAATAGTGAAAAGTCATTCCAAAAACTTGCAAAATCAATTTGGAACTGTTCACTCAAAAATTGTTTTTAGTTGGCATGCAAACATTTTCACACTCACTTGGCTGAGTTTTTGCAGACCCAACTATGCATAAATTATAAACCAAATGCATTTCTTGACAATTTTATAGACGGAGACTTGCTGATCAATAAAAATCAGGTTATGTATGTACATATGTTCAACAATTTTAGGAGTTGTCATCTATGAAGGTCACTTTTTTCTTTTTGATGAATTAGCAATAATTTCTGAAGTTCTCAACAATTCAATATGAGTTCTAGTAAAACATTTCAATTAATAACAGATTGTTGTATCCGTCACTGAAAAGCATGCGATCCATTTTGCAGATAACGGCCAGGTTTTTACATGGGGATCTAATAGTTTTGGTCAGCTCGGTGTCAGTTACATCACAAAATCATCTTGTCCTGTAAGTTGATTATTTTCTTTTAAAAAATTTTTTTGTAAAGTTACTTTCCATGATTCTTGCTTGTTCAAATAGATGACTGTTATCGAAATCTTTCTAAGTTTATAAGAAAGCTAAAAAAAAAAAAACTACGAAATTAAAAATGTAATGCCATCCATTTTTTTTTTTTTGTTGCATTTTATCACAGATCTCATGTGATTTTATTGTCAAATATGTGGCCTTCCAACTGAATGTGAATGTACAACTAGTTGGCATTCATAGCCAAAATGGTATGTCATTGTCCATATCAGACTGGCTTCTAAGGATAGGGGAAGTGAGTTCAAATCTTGGCAGCTAATTTTGATTTCCATGCTATTTATGTCACAAAAGGAGTGATAAACTGTAAAACACAAATCAATCTATGTTTATGTCACAGTCATAGAATGTAAAAAAGCTCAAGTATTATAATAATAAAAAATAAGAAAAAAAATTTCTGCATAAAATTTATTTTTATTAAAGTTGCTGTTTTTGCATTCCAGTATTGAAAATACAGCTGTTATTTGAATAGTCAACAATTGAAAATCTTTTGTGTAGATACGTTATACTGTGAAAATTCTAGATTAAAAATCAGTTAATGACTGTGTTAGGCTACCAACCTATTGATCCACTTTGTATTCTTGGCAATCCTTTGTAAAAATGTCTATCACCCATAATGAGAAAGTAGAAAAGCCAGGGGTCAGAATCTTTCCACATAAAATTATCTTTAAAAAAATAAAGCAAGAACCTTTTGATGAGGGAATGTTTTCATTTAAATCTTTTCTAATTTACAAACCATTTTTTGATCCTGATACTTTAAATTGCAGGAGGGAACAACTTTCTTACACAAAATGTGGATGTTTACTGCCAATTTAATTAGTTTATTTATTTTGACAATATTATTGTTTGCTCATTTTGTAATGAATGATAACTTGGTAAAATGCATTTAGCAAGTTGTGTAAAAAGCAGCAATTGTATGGTAACATGAAGCTTTTCCAGCAATGAGTTTTCTTCAAGTTCCTTTCTCCAGAACTTGATTTATTCTGCTTGTTTATGTGGACAAATGTTGAATTTTCCTAACTAGGATCAGAGTGTAGTATCTGCATGATACCCCAGCCCATGTTTTATGTGGTTATTGCTTTCACAGTATTTTTTTCTCTCCATAATGAAGAGGAATATTAAACAAGTGTTTTAAGTGGGGTTTTCTACCTCTGTTTTAGCAATCAATCCTTGTCTTCAACTTGCAAAGCAAATTGAAATAAAGGAGAGAAATATGTAATTGTTTTTTTGCACTTTTTTTTTTTTTAACTCATTTCACCCCAATTAAGGTAATAAGCCCACTAAAATTCAACAGTTTACTGAGGGGGAGAACATTATGAAGAAGAAAGGACAATAAAAGAACAGAAATTAAGAAGACAGAAGATAATGGTTGACATTGCATTTAAAGATATTTAAGATCAAAGTTGACTGTGAGGCAAGAAGCTGGAAGAGAGTTCCAAAAGTGAGAAGTAGGAGAGAAGAAACTGTTAGCATAGAACTTGGGATTTTTTTTTTTATATATATATATGACCTCCTCGCACAAAAACTTTTTCCCCTAATATTGTTCTTGATATATAAAAATTTATATATCATTCTCATATACATAGATATAGTGAGTGTCAATTTTTCTCAAATCTAATGTTTTTTGGGGTTGATTGTTGTAGGTTGAAGTTTTCATTGGAGAGACTGATTCAAACCTTGACCAACAGATTCCTTCACCAGTGACACAAGTGGCTGCTGGGATCAGGCATTGTGTTGTCTTAACAGGTAAGTTCAATCATAAATGTATATGTGTCTATCTACTGCAATTTTTATTATATCACCTGAAGATTTATTTCACTTGGGCTCTGTAAATATTTCAGTTTTTTTGCACCTCCATTTATGGTTGGTGAAAAATAACGGGAAAAAATCTTTATGAATTCCAGAAAAAAAAAATTCCTTCATTTTTAACTTGAAAATGATTTCACTTCATGCAACAATTCCATGTAACAATAAATATCTTTTATGCCAACTTTTTGATAACTTTTTCTGTTGTAAGAAAGAATTTAGTGGATCTTCTTTGAGACTTTCATGTAATTCTTCTTCAACTTCAGAGAACAATGAAGTTTATACTTGGGGTGCAGGAAGGAAAGGCCAACTTGGATTTTTAGATTCTGATAAATGTCTGAGCAAATCAGAAAAACCAGTGAAATGTAAGTCAAATATTTCTCACGAGTCCTCCAATCTTTTGCTTGCTTTGTTCATTCGAGGTTGAACAGTAGGTGGGTGAAACTTGTTCAATATTGAAAACAAAAGAAAATTCAAATCAGAAAATACAACCTTTGCTTCTACTTGATTAATTTCCCAAATAAAATTCTGCAATGTCAAACTTTGTACAGGACTTTAATTTTCTGAGTGTTTGACATTTCTCAAGGATATTATTTGATCCAAACTTCTTTTGGAAAAAAAAATCAAAAAAACAAAAAATCGCCTATCCTGCTTCACCAGGTCAATCTTCACCTCATTTACATTTTGCTTTTATGAGATTTAAAAATTTTTTTTTCAGTAACAGGTTTAAAAAATCCCGTCCAGGTCATTGCTGGGTCTTTTCACAGCGGAGTTCTGACAGGTAAGCACCGTCTTTGTTCCTCTTCACATGATTCAATAGAATTACATAGAGTTACAATGTTTTACAAGTCAGTATATGCAGTGGCTATTGACTGAAAACAAAAAAATATGTCATCACATGAATCAAAAAGAATACAGCATAATATCCGGTCATCCTAAGGTAATATTTGAAATTTGTTAGTAAGAGATTGAATATTTTTGCTCTTCTAAAATGCCTAAATGATCGCAATACCTGCTTTGTACAATTTAAAATCTTGCACCATCTGATTACCACCTATTTTCTTACAATCTTGGACAAGTTCTTAAAGTTTGTGAAAAGGGAGAAAACTCTACCGTCGCTATATTCTTTTCTTCCAATCCAACAAAAAATTGTAATTATGAATCTTGAAAATCAGTCGGAGGAAGTTAGTGGTAATGAGGGAATCAATGCTAAAAAAAAAAAATCATAATTCAACATTAATTTTGGAATATTGTTTTTATATGCACACAACTTTGAGATTTAATGTCCTATTTTTCTCCTCTTTCAAATCTTTGTACAAAATAAAGAATTACTTTTTTTTTTCTAAATAGATAATCTAAAAACATTTCTGGTCTACTTATAAAATTCAAATTATCTTGATTGGCCCTTGACATTTAACCTGCAAGGTTAATCCTATTCTGACTTGAATGTGCACTCTCTCTTTAGAGAATTTTAATTTATACACACACACAAAAAAATACATATTTGATATTGGTTTATAATAATCATGGATAATTAAAATCTGTTCAAAACATTTTCTTGAAATAATTTTTTATAATGTTGCATTGTTTCAAAGAAAATGTTGCCAACCTGATATTGTTATCTAGAAGATCTTGTCCTAAAGCATCTACAAAAGTTGGTAACTGATGTGTGAAAGATATATAAATATATATTAAAGTGGATACTAAAAGTAGCACTAAGTGGTGAAAGTCTTCCATACCATTATATTTACATATGCTCTATCCTGATATTGAGCACCTTTACCCATAAATATAGCATACCTTAAAACTATATTTTCATCATATATAAAATTGTGTATTTGGGTAGCAATCCCTCTTTTATACAAGTTTCATTTACTGTGGTTAAGTTTATATTTAATTTTTTTTCTTTTCTGGACATAAATTATGTTTGAATGTTCTGTGTGTCCATCTGCAACATACTTGTACATATTACAAATATAATAGCCTCTTCCACATATACAAAAAAAAAGACTAAAAATAATGGAAGCAAACTCAATAACATCAACTATGAACATGGTCACAAATATGCTGACCATGTTTGGAAAATAAAAACATTCCTATAACTAGATACATACATACATAAAAAAATAAAATAAAGATACATTCAGTTAAAAGTAAAATCATCCTTGATAATGCCTAAAAGAATAGCTGAAAGTGCTTGAACATATAGAATATTTGGACAATTTCTACATAATATATATATATATATATATATATATATATATAATTATTTTTTATAAAAAATTATAACATAAGTATGTTATAAGATCACTACAAAAATAGCAATTTTGTTTCAACACATTCTGTGTCTTCTCAAGTGATGATGTTGAAAATAAAACCTGGTATATATATATATATATATATATATATTACAATAAACGATGCAATCAGTTTACAAATACATGAATTATTCACTCAAAACTAATGCAAAAGGTTAATGATTTAAATGGCGAGACATCCATCAACCATAAACAATTCAAATAGTGTTACAAAAACCTCAGATCGATCTGAAAATTATTGAAAATGAGTTATTCCTTTTTGGAATATAAATTTCAACGTATGAGTTTGATTTTAAATTTTTAAGCTTTCGTTTATACCAAATATCTGATGAATTATAGAATAAATGTTTTTCTTGTTTTTTTTTTGTCAAATGGCATGAACTATATTGTTCAATAATATAGTAATGTACCACTTTTACTAAGAAAAAAACAAGAAAAATTTGTTCTATTCTATATTTGAAGATGTCTGCAAACACTTAAAAATTTAGTAAAAATAACTAATTGCGGCAGAAATTTATAAAAACAAGGATCAATTCATTCATAACGGATCTGGATATTTTGTATACTATTTGAATTGTTTATGATGATGGATGTCTCGCCATTTAAATCATTAACATTAGTTTTGCATTAATTATGTATGTATATATGAATATATATATATATATATATATATATATATATATATATATATATATATATATATATATATATATATATATATATATATATCATTGAAGAATATAGACATATTGTGTCTACTTAGTTTTACATTTATCCTTTTCAGTTGTCTAATCAGTTTCTTGATGTTAAGATGAAAGGTGTCATATTTTTCTTTTTTAACCCAAGTACTTTTGATCTTTTCTAACATCTTCAGGGGTAAATTACAAAAACAAACTTATTGTAACTGAGATAAAATCTGCATTCTGATGTGATGGTGATCTTTAAAAAACATTTTATAGTTCCAGTCAGCTCCCTTAAACACATGTTTTGCAAAAAACACCATCATAGCATAATGCAGATTGGTGTAAAAATTATATTTAACTAAAGGCACTACCAGTTTAGCTAGAACTAGAATTGAACACCTCCTGCAATCTCATCTAATTACTATTATAGAACAATGACACGTTTCTTCCTGAGTAGCTAATTGCTTGTGTCCACACATTTTCTTTCTCTTGTTTTTGGTACTATCTTCATTTTGGATCTCAGAACTGATTAGCTAATCTTTTATTCTTTGAAAAGGTTTCTCAGTATCTGATGAAACATTACATTTCTTATAGATACAGGAGGCATTTACATTTGGGGTTGCAACAAATATGGCCAAAGTACGCAGCTAAAATCCAAAATGCTACCATTACCAACTGAAATTCCAGTGAATAACTTTCCCTTGTTGACTGATGATTTTATTAAAGAGCTTCACTCAGGATGGTCACATCTCCTTGTACTGACCAGTAAGTAAATTGGGTCCTTTTTTTTTTTTTTTTTTTTTTGTTACTGACATAAATCTGGCTTAAGTTGACTTAGATTCAATAATTCCATCTCATAATCAGTTGTCTAGTTTTGGTGTGCAAATTTTAATGCATTTTCGTTTTGGGAAATATTCTATAAGGTGTTTTACTATTAAAGTTTGAACTAAAACCATATTTTGTTATAAAACAAACACTATAATTCTGTTATTTTTTTTTTTTCTGCTTAGAAAACTGTCAGCTTATCAGCTGGGGCCGTTGTGATTATGGTCAACTTGGACGACCTGTCCTTCAAACTGCAAATGGAGGGAATTATGATCCAATACCACAGACAATTAAGGCTTTAGACAAATGTGTGTGTAAAGTGTTCTGTGGAGCTGAACATAATATTGTTATTGTAGGTGAGTATTTCTGTTCTTGAAGAAAACCAGAAACATGCACAAATGTAGGTTAGAGAATAAGTGATTCTTAGATGTCTGTGAAGAAACAAATCAAAAAGCACTCTTATACACACACCCGCACAGTTTGTTCAAGTTCATATCAGCAACTGTCTGTCATTGATACAACTTTGATTAAAGATAACAGGCAAGGCAAAATATTTAGGCCCTGCCTGAGATGCTGAAAATTCCTTGACTAATATTAAACTTTCTGAAAAGTAGATATAAACCAACCTATTCAAAACCATTGATCAACTCGCAATTAATGTTGCAAAATAATTGCCGATGTGTTTTTTTTTTTTTTTTGTCTAGTGAAAGCACATGTAAATAAAAAGTTTTTCTGGCTTTAATCAGATTTGTACATAACGTTCACTAGACTAATAAATCTTAGAATTTCTTTTTTTTCTTCTTTCGTTGCAGCTGGAGGTAAATTGCTGTGTTGGGGTTGGAATGAACATGGTATGTGCGGTAATGGGGATGAAATCAACCAACCAACTCCTGTACCTTGTTTGATAGCTGACGAATTTCACACACTCACTGCTGGGTGTGGCACTGGCCATTCTTTTGCGATTGTGAATGTCTAACAGACAAAATGAAAAGCATTTCTCTTTAGGGGGGAAATTTTCTCGTTTCAATGAAACCATTTATATTGTACAAGCACAAGTGATATAATAAAGAGGTTTATAAGGTTTTATTGGTGAATGTGTTTTTAATTGGAAATTAAAATAACTAAATATGAGGGTAAGTTAAGAAATTATCTGCACTTTCGCCATACCTTCTGCTCATGCGTGCTTATAGTTGGTATGTGATTTTTGCCAGTTTTCTTGCTGCTGTTACAGTGTAAAACATAGCTGCTCTGCTAGCAGTGATCTGATTTCTCTGGTCAGATTTTGTCAGCTGGTGAGTCATCGGAGGCTTTTTAACACAATACAATGGCAGTAATACCATGTAGAAGTTTAAAAGCAGCCAGACAAGCAGGTCACCCGTTAACTTTCGCCATGGATGAGAAGGTTCCGCATGCTCAAGAGATGGTGAACTGGCAAGTTATCAATGATGTGATAGCAGTGTGCAGCCAAGAGAAACAAACTGCAGAGACCATGCTATCTCATCAATGATAATTTGCTTGACAGGTGTCCTGCTTGTCTGGCCACTTTTAAACTTATCATACACACTTCTACATGGTATTACTGTCATTGTGGTTTGATAAAAAACCTCTAATGAATTTCAGCCCCCCTGACAACTTCCAAGATTGGATCTGCTAGCAGAGCAGCTGTGTTTTAGGAGTAAGAAAACTAGCACAATCAAGTTCAAACTTTGATCATGTGACCACAATAGTACCAACTAGCAGATGACAGTATGAAGATATGTTATACTGAAAGTGTGGATAATTTTTGACTTACCCTTGTATAGATTCCAAAGTTATTTATGGTAATGCTCATGCTATGAGGGTGGGATGAAAAGTTCATAGGCTGACTATGTTCATCTGACTGGTCAAAGAAGTCATCAACACTGCAATACTAGTTTCCAACTAAGTGTTTTTTCATGTTGGGGAATAGATGATAGTCAAATCAGGAGAACGAGGAAGGGTGGTCAACTAGTACCAGCCATTGAAACAAGAACTTGTGCATTGGAGCATTGTCCTGGCAAAACAAGATAGCCTTTTGTAACATGGTAGTACTCGCCCCATTGATAGCGTAACCTTTTTGAAGATAATAAAATAATAAACACAATGTATCCCAAAAAACTGAGAATGAACATGGTATGTGTGGCAATGGGGATGAAATCAACCAACCTTTGCTACACTTGGCGTTCTTTGGTGAGGAAGGATATTTCTACTTCATTGGTTATCTCAGCACTCATCCTGGTTTGGGAAACGTTCAAGGAAACCACCTACTAAGCCAAAACATTCATTGTGCAGAATATTCTCAACTCCCTCACGGGTTATGTTCATAACATTGGCTATTTTATTTATAAGCAATTGCTTGTCAACCATCACCATCTGATGAATATGATCAAGGTTTTCCTCGGTGGTGATAATTGCAGGACATTCAGACCTTGGGTCAACTTCAAGACTCAACCATCTCCTTCTAAATCCAGCTGCCCAATTTTGTATTGTTCATAAAGCTAGAGTGTCATCCTTTAATGTAGCAACCATGTCAGCATTAATGTCCTTGGGTGCTAAACTTTTTTCTTTTTTTGCAGGTACATGATAACAATGATGCCAAATTTTAGTCACTACTAATTACATTTGATGTCTTTGAACTGTCAGTTTACCTGGAAAGAAACAATGCAGTTATTAATAAGGCTGAGTTGAAATTAATGCATACAAGATTTCACAGCTCTCACATCATTCCTTCATAGTCAGCCTATGAACTTTTCGTGAAAAGCCCACCCTCGGAAAGAGGAGAAACATTTTACATTCCTCTATTTGGCGGTAAATATATTGTCCTAGTGATCCATAAGGAACCTTTTTTGTAGTGAAAACAAACAATGATACTTACAGTATATATATATATATATATAATTTCTTTAATGCAGGGCAAAGCTGTGCGTAATATTTCTGCACAAGATTGTCAGCAACAGAAAAGGAATTGGCTTACATGATTTTGTACTCACAGGCAAGCAATTTTTTTTTTTTTTTTTTTTGCCAAACATCTTGAATAGTCTGCAGGAAGTGTTAGTCAACCCATCATGTTACTTAGAACAGTCACTTTTCTTTGGAAACGTAGATTATGATGCATCTGTTTTTTTGTTTTTTAATTGGTCAAATTCAACTTGAAAAAGGTTTCAAATTTACTTAATGTACTTAAACTTCTTATGGGGGGTGTGAGGAAAAAAAAAACAAACAAACTTTTTCTGTATTTCTAATGACCTTAAAATATTTTTTCCACACAGCCTATGTTGAATGGAATACATATGATGGGGGGAGGGTTTTTTTCTTAAAAAAAAAAAAAATGAAATCAAGCCTCTCTAGTTAGCTCTCATCAAACAAGTTTAAAGTTTAACAAATGAAGAAAATATTTTCTGGGTGTTGAAATGCCTTTTTCTCTGAGCAGTTGTCAGGCTGAGTGCAAGACGAGCTACTGAAAAATAGAAAATAACGATTAATTTTCTCTTAGAATGTCCCAAGAAGACATCCATCTGTGGAAACCAGTTTCTGTTTGTGCTTTCTGCCCAAACAGAAGTTATATGCCAATTGAGTGAAGAAGGCAGAAATTTTTAGTATTTTTTATAACATCAATAAATTCCACAGTTCACATCTTTCTGGCTCGGGTTGACATTTGTTTTATTTTCCTATAGATCTTGATGAAGATGATCAATCAGATACATGTGATGTCTACGTGTGTTCAGATATCACAGAATAAAGTAGACAAGTCATGAAATTGCAGAGGGATTTTGTTTTTCATTCAGGAAACAAGGGCAGGTCATCAGAGCCACCCACTTGCTGCTTGGTCCATTTCATCAGGTTCGATAAAGGGTTTATCAATTAATCTACAATAAGAAAGAAAACAAACCTTGAAGCGAGAGATCGGAAGAATAAGACAAATCTATACAATAGATGAAAAGATGATTAAATTTTATTAATAATTGTTAAAATTTGATCTAATGGAACCTTTTCATGATTATATAAACTTACATATGAAATCCATTTTTCGCTTTTTAAATTATTTAGATGAAATAAGTCATCTAGAAAATCTTGATAACTTTCCATGATGGAAGTAAATTTCTTAGAGAACTCAATGATGTTGAGCATAATTCACTGTTTGAAGATTACAAACTGAAATTTAATAATGAGGCATTTCCTTCAAAGAGTTATTTCAAATGAAAGTCTTAATAATTGACTCACTTGATCATCATTTCTCCACAGTAGATACACTCGGCACCAATGATTTCTTCGAGTTCTCCCTGAAAGAAAATAATTCTACATTGGAAAACCATAAGGCAGGAAAATTCAGTGAGAAAAAAAAGTCCTAATCATCAAAATCAGGAATGTCTGCTAGAGAGAGCAAGAAAAATGTGTGGGTGCTGAGAAGTTCTTGCCTGACCCATACTTCCTGAAAGTGCTTACCTACAGAGGAGAGAAAAATAGTGTTAATTATACTCTTTTGTTGTTTGCTTATTGGCATCAAGGACTGCAAACTGTTACTATAACAGAATATCTCTTTACTTAAAAAAAAAAAAAAAAAATCTGACACTATGTTTAATGAATTAGATGAGAAAATGCTTCAAACATTGTTAATTAACAGGTTTCAAATATTCTCTTGTCATTCATATCTTTTGAAGAGAAATTAATTTCATTAACAATAATTACAATTCAACAATGTAAGTTGTTTTTATGTATTGGATGAGACTATCTTAATCCATTAACACCCACCATCCAATCTAGTAGAAGTTTTTACCCATAACTGATTAATACCCACTATCAAGAAAGTAGGATAGTGGCCATTAATGTGTTAATAAAAAAGAAGAAATCTTTCTAGAAAGTGATCAGTCATGAAACAATTGTCTTAAATCTTATTGTTTGTAATGACAAGAGACAATGTTTTTGATTTGGGAGTTAAAGTGACAGGTGTATTAAAAATACAATCAAGTTTCTATGCAATCCTTCTCATCAGGTCTGCAACATCAAAGCAACTTTACGGTATCAAGAAAGGTCCAATTCTAAAATATATTCTAAAACTATCAATAAGTGATACATTAGCAAATCAAACCAGTGTGAGAAAAGAAAAATTTGCTTGAAGGAGATTGAGGTGGAGGTGGAAAGAGTGCTGTAGCCCATTGAAGAGTTGTCCCTTCAAACAACATTGTTGACAGAACCACCAATTAGTAGCCAATTCCAAAAAAGTATTTGTTGAAAGCTGTCTGCTTAGGGAGTGAAAATTTGAGAGAAGCTCACTTATTGAGCAAGAGGATTTTTTTTATGCACACACACAAACCATATATTTCAACGTATAAGGTAACCTTTAGATAAGATAAAAATATAGTAAATTTTCATGAATTTATCCTATACCTGTAATAAAAGATGACTGCTTATTGATTATATAAAGATGATGTTATTGGAAATGTTGTTACTTACTGTATCCTTAGAAATTCAAAATAAACAAAATAACAAAACTGATTCTATATCATGTTTTTCCTACATACATCCTCTAAAAGGAAACCATTGTTTTGTTTACGTTTCATTACGTGGTCTCTTGCAAACACTGATTATTCTTCTTCTTTTCCTATATCTAAACATTTACAAACAGCCTGGTGTACTAATTTTTTTATTCAGTCTGTTACTAACTTGTGTTTAAGCCAGTTGAAATTTCTTATTAACTTATACCTATATCAATCATGGAAACGCCAATAAAACAATGAAAGCATGAAGTGAAGTTTAAAGTTTAGCAAAAGATAAAAGGTTGCTGTGAACGCAATCATAACTGAATATTTACATTTTTCTCAGCTGAGCTTGCATGAATACAAGTTGATTTCATTGATATGGATTTATTCTTTGAATAGGCAATTATGAAGTTATGCTAGTAATACATAAGGTAGAATGGTTTTATTACTTTTATTAGCAGTTTATTTGATAATGTGAATC